ACGAGCGCTGACTAACGACTGAAAGGTTTATTCTCAGGAAACCACGAAGAAAAACATACAACACGACTCTCTAATCACGATGGAAATGCGCACGCGCCTTACGAAATTGGGTGCAAATTTTGCACCCAATTTTGTGAGGCGCATGCGCATTTCCATCGTGATCAGAGAGTCGTGTTGTCGTATGTTTTTCTTCGTGGTTTCCTGAGAATAAACCTTTCAGTTGTTAGTCAGCGCTCGTCCTGTCCAGTTCCTTCCTCTGTCCTTGCAAAAATTCGCGCTGTTCCATTATGGATCGCCTTTACTTTACAAGGCTAAGAATACGCATGAAACGTCCGGGGCCTTGACAAGGCATTTGTTGCTAATTATTTATTCCGGTCGTTACTTCTTCACAATGATCGAAGCTTACGGTTTGAGCTTGCTTGACACTCCAGCAAGAAGGCTGGTCTATTTGTCCTGCCCTCTCAGGTTTTAAAATGTGTTGACCTCACTAGTGATGTTTCCTTCGCCTTTTGGCCCTGAAGCCGTCATCCCTAAGCGGACAGTGAGGTGGAAGATACGTGCTCGTTGGAACAGGCAACCGTCTATCTTTCGCCACATAACCGGGCTTTCGTTCATACCTGCGTGCAGAGAAAGGGACGGGTCAGGCGATCAAAGGAAAATGGTTGATTGTTTTTTTGTGAGCTGGTATAGCTCCAACCCCAATGTCAGATTACGTATAAAGGAAGCATAGTCTCGTCGGGATGACGTAGCCGCAGCGGATCTGCTTGCATGGGATTCTTGAGCCGTAGTCTTCCAGTGATGTCTTTGCACGTAAGCTTTTCTCTTTCGCCTTTCCAGCCGCCTTTGTGCGTCTGTCGAGTTTTTCGTACGAGGTTTTGCGTTTAGATGGGCGTCGTTTAATTGCTCCTTTTTCTGTTTCACGAACTGTCTAGATAAAAATTATTTGTTCTATTTAAAAATGAAAAAAGAGTTGGCGACTGAGCTTTCTCGTTTAGGATAAAAGTCATTTCAAAATTAACGAGTGGTTAAATTTTAATTTACTGACTGAAAGTAATTCATTGCATTACTGAATCTTTAGCCTATAAAACTAGACCATTACATTACTTATTAACAAAGAAGTTTACGTAATTTTAATGCTGCCATTTAATTAAATTAATGTCATTACTGCCATCCCTCGGAAGGACTGCCTACTGTCCTTCCACGGTGCTGATGAAGGTAAAAAGCTGATACTACAATCGCTAGATAGTCACCGGGACAATTGTTTCATCGTGAAAACCACCGACAACATACAATCGAGGAGGCCACGAGAGACGAGCAGAAATCGCGAAAAATACTGTTTCGTCTAGTTGAGGCTTTTTCCCACTAGGTGACGTCCGTTTCGCGGGAGTCGCGAATACTCCCGCACAACCTTATGTAGCAGTGGAACCAAAGTTACAGATCCGCAGCACGCCGTTTCAATGCGCAGCTGAATATAGTCCAACCAAAATATTGTGTTAAGCGTAACTTGAAAAATATATATATACATGTGTTGTAGTCTCAATTTTACAAAGTAATCATTATATTGGTCAGAGTGAGCCAATATTATGTACATTTTTCTAGATCTTTCGCGTTTTCTTCGTTTAAATTATCTGCAGATTTTCTTGTGCCCTGCAAAACAATCATGGTGTCGTTTTCGTGTGCGTCGGTGGACACCATCAGTATAGTTTATCGTCTCTGCCTTCTCTGCCGTCCCGTGGGATTTTCCCGAAGTTTGGCAAACAAAAAGTCTTAAAAACAAACCGAGCGAGGGATGTGCAACGTTTACCCAGAAGTGAGGAAGAGGAAACTGGGACTCTCCTTTGTTTCTTCTACACGGGTTCGTTAGCGAGTTGACCGGTGTAAGTTAGCAGGGGTGGGTATTGTGCGCATGATCTTTGGGTTCTGCAGCGCGAGCTTTCGCTATAGGTGTTCCGAACTGAGTTGCGCCTTCGTCTTCCTTGTACGGCCAGCAGTAACGAAGCGCGATACAAATATAACTTGACTTCGCACAGCATGTTCTGCGTGCTTACATTCTGGTGTATCGCGGCCCCGCTATGATTTATCATAAATAGAAGATTTAACCCATCAATAACCTCAAAGCACTGCAGCGCTAATAAAATTAACAGCATCATTTAAATTGTTGTGGCATATCTGCGTCTGTCGCAAGAAAAACAAAATTTGAGATGGTCTAACACGATGTAATTTTCCTTTGGATACGGTAGAATGCTTCAGCGGAAGCATCGGCTCGAGCTTAAAAACAAATAAAGCATTAGAAAAGAGACGCCAATACGTTTGCGTGCTCGACAATCACAACTCAGAAACCTGAAACCATACCACAAGATGAACAGAAGCGTAGGCGTGTGTGTCACACCAATACCCAAACTTGCACCGAAACAATAAAAGTCCAAACCTATTTGCACCGATAACACAAAAAGGCAGTTTGCTGCTCAACCGCATCCGCCGCCGCTTCGCAAGCCCAGCTCAACATCAAGTGCGAGTGTGGCACTAGGGCTGAGAACGTCAACGTTCATAATTAGAGTATGAAAAAACGAGTTTTTATTTTTTCTTACACCTCCAGGTGAAGTAGAGCAGGTAAGAAGACGTTCAGGCATTGTCGACGTAAATGGTCGTTATCAAGATGTTAGATAAAAACTAGCTTGAAAAAAGTTGTGGTTCATAATCACGGGAGCCGAATTACCTTGGACTGCCCTTTCAATTATCAAAAAAAAATTTAATATATATATTTTTTGATAATTATATATATATATATATATATATATATATATATATATATATATATATATATATATACATTTTAAATCATGACGCTCAATCTATGTAATGCAGAAACAGCGTTGACATGCGGATGTCGAAACCCCAGTAAAGTTGCTCAAGGACTCGGAATTTCGGAGACCCCTGATATGCCTTCCAAGGTATCCCAGAGGGGTCCTTATAGCTAAGGGACCGGGTTAGGTGTTTTTCGCGGCCTGCCTTGAGGGCCAGAAAATAAGCAGGTAAATAACACGAAGCGTTTGGTGAGCGTCGCAACGCGATATCTTTACACGCGCTTATTTATGCGCCAGTAGGGGCGGGACTGCTGGTGACGGGCCGCGGCCCGGGGGTCACTGCGAGGACCGCGGCCAGTCGCCGGCAGGTGGGACGCCCTCCGCGTTCCGGATCCGACCCGCGTACTGTGTTTTGGAGACTCCCGACTTAAACGGTTATCCAAAAGAAGTCATGAGTATACATCAGCTTCGCTCCAGTCATGAACAACCAACAAGACCAACTGAACATTCTGTTCCAAAGAAGAACTCTGCGGCCGCCCCATTTTGCGACCCGGACGACCCCTGTCAGCCAGAAATTTCTGTGAACCTGCTAAGCTGTGGAAACCCGGTCAGCGCGACTCCTCACCTGTGTTGTTCTTTCGGAATCTGTCGGACGTTCTTCAAAGTTTTTGATTTATTTGTCTGTTCAGGATAGTTACAATTTTTGTATTACCTTGATCTGTGAGAACCAGGGAATACCAGGTCTCGTGGGCTTTGCAGCATGCCGACGAAGAAAGCGAGCATCAAACAGTTCGCGACGCGGTCCATTCGATGCTCTTCGATGATTGATTTAGTAGAGGTAATCTTCGAAATGTTCTCCTACCTATGTTCGCTTTCTTCGCAAAACATAGCTGGTGGGTCCAGGGTAAATGATGGAACAAATAAATCCGTTTTTGTTTTTTGTCTCAAAAAAAAAAAAAAAAAGAAAGCCGCACTTTTTGTAACGTTCCCTGAAATAAACCGGATTCCGTCCGAATGTCGTCGACAATATATATTGGATATGCTGTGTTATCTCAAATCTTTCTTGAATAAAACGTTTTTTCGGGTCACGCGGCACCGTACGGTAAGTGCAATATATTGTTCGATTGATGAGACTTGTTGGATGTCATGTTGTGACCGAGGAATACCCACGGCTTTCGGCTTTCTTGAGTGGACAAATATTTTCGACAGTTAATAACCTTGTAGGTTGGCACGGCTGAGTGTATGGCATCTTAAAAGTCTGCATAAAATACAACAAACATTCCACCTGTCTTTGATTTTGTTCTGTCGCGTACAGGGCCACCAGAAATAGCTTTCATTTGTTTTGTTGTTTCAAGAACTGGTACATCGCCTTTTTTTAAAGCATGGCGAAATTCTATTCGCCCCAAGACACAAAAGATAAAATAAAACGGATACATTTAGTCACAACCAGTTGCTGGGATGGCGCTTACGCAGGCTGCTACTGCTTTTTGAAGAACTCGCAGCCCAGCGCAGTCGGCCAACACAGACGTACTCTCTCAAACCCAAAAACACGCGGTGTAAACAACTTTATTCGAAAATGTCGCAGGAAAGGTCCATAGAATTGACTGCTAGGCACATAAAGTCGTAATAGAGAGCTTTCGATGCTCGACCCCATATCTCCAATACCCCTGACAGCGATAAGATGCTGGACGAAAAACGGCAACGGTTTATCGGGCGTTGCTGTCGGAGTCATCGGAGCGATCTCCTAAAACTCTCTAATCATTGCTTTCCCGATTTGCTTAAGTTGTATGGCAACCACATTTACTGCCCGTGGAATATTTGAGGTGAAGCAGCTAGTGGAAAAGCAGTAATGGCCATAGATACAGCTACAACAAGCTTTTTGTTAGACTGTAGATTTAGAATTCTCTCGGTCCGCAAAGAACAACCGTTTCTGTTTCGCGATGAGTTTGAGTCCATTATAGAAAATGGCTCCCTGCTTCTTTATCCTGACACTTTGCGACCGTAAACCCCCAAAACAATCCCAGCTATATCTCAGGTAGGATACACTGTGCAACGATGTTGCTTATTTGTAGAAAACAAAATTGTGCATTCCGAAATCAAATGTTAAAGTCAAGCATAAATTCCCTTTTTTGCAATCACGATTTCCAACGCAAATTGTATGCTCGAATGCGCACTCGCCAACTTGGATGATTACAGAATCTGCAAGTCAATCACTCACAGACGAAAAGGATGCGCAATATAAGTGCGGAAAGCGCCAAAAAGTAAAACATATTTCTGCAAGAATCATCAATGGTACCCAGGCTCCCGCGGATCACTGGCCCTGGATGGTCGCATTCTATAATTCAAATGATACCTTTGCATGTGGAGGGGTCTTAATTGGCGAGGATTATGTGGTAACGGCAGCACATTGTTTTCGGTAAGTGATTTTTGTTTTCCAATTTAATGAATATGTGTATTTTCATTTGTTTTCATATAATACTTAATTGCTGCCTCGCATATTCCCAGTCCGTTCTTCGTTAGTTTGAAGGGTTATTCAGCCACTCCCTGTGCAGTGCGGTTTGAGGCATGAAGCAACACACGCGTTTCCGCTTTTCGCAGCGTTAAATTTGCATTCGATGGCGGAACATAATTAGACAACACAACGATAATCAAATTTTTCTTTAAAGTTTAAACAATTATCGCGTGTCAGGCATTCAGATTATACGCGGTGAGAAAAGTAGCCTTTAGACTCGAATATGAATTTCTAACTTCAGGCCAATAAACGATATTGTGCCAGTCAAAGGGGTAGGACGCAAGTTGTATCTCAAGTGCATTAATGCAATTTGTTTATTATTTGTCAATATAAAACTTACTGAATTAGGTAACAATAACTGTCTCTGTTTTTTTTTTCTTCTTTATAATTAAAGAAATCAAGACGCTCATAAGTTTTCAGTTCGACTGGGAACCACACTCAAAACCAATGTTTCTCAATGTAACACTCCACAAGATGCTAATATACGCAAAAAGACCACCAGAAATGCGGAAGTATTTCCAAAATTAGATGAAGAATACAATGAGGATCCCCAAATCCAGGTCGTTTGTATTGAAGTTGAAAGCATCTGCGCCCCTATTCAAGACAACTGTAGCCTTTTCATGGTGCGTAAATAGCAACGGTCGTAACATCATTAAATGTTGTGCATCATGGTTTTGTCAATATTAATTTCACAGAAAGACATTGCTGTTGTAAAATTAAAAACGAAAGTCAACTATACTGACTATATTCAGCCAATCTGCCTTCCGGAAAACTGCGTCGATCGCCCTGCAAGGAATGCATCATATGCTGCTGGCTGGGGAACAATATATGGTAAATGGCCTGATTTTAATATTTACTACAGACGAGAATCATTACAAAATACAACTCCGGAACTTTGAATGATTTCATATTTTACATATTAAACTGGTAATTAAAAAATACTTTTATGATATTTTTTGTGACATATAGCTTGTACGATGATCAGATGGCGGTTGGTGTTTCACACATGCTGGTATGACCAGTAATGCCCTGGAATGTAAAAACATTCGTATGGCCTTTATTATTATTTAAAATAAATATTTGTTTTACTCCCAGAGTATTACTCTCTAGAAGAATATGAAGGTGATCATGAAGTCGAAGAAGAAATAGAAGGCCCTGAGATTCAGAAACCCATAAACAAAACATCAAGTGAAGGAACAAGCGTCGAATCACAAACGGAACAAGCAAAATTGTTAATATTTGGAGACACAAACACACTGATAGAAAGAAAATTAGATCTCATGGATCAGGATCAATGCTCTGCCCAAATGAAAACCAAAGTTCCTGACCATATCATTTGCACAAGTGGAGGGACATGTCGCGTGAGTAAAGAAAATCCTTGAATTGCGTTTCCTATAACACTCAAATATCATATAATACATCTTATTCCTTCGTGCATCTAAGTTCATAAAGCATGCAGTTCATTTTAGTGTAACGCTTTAGTCCTAAATGTTTGTCGAGCCGATCGTCCGTCCGTCCGTGTCATCATTTCACCGCTTTTTAGAGAGAAAATTGACGTTGCCTGTCCTCTAACGTTAAAAGCTGGGTTGCTGCGCTAAATTGAGCAGGAAAATCGAAATCACGTTATCTGAGTACCAACTCATCTTTTTCGTTAAATTTGGCGACAAAATTGATGTCTCGTGATTTAAAAACCTATTTAAAAATATTGCGAAATTTACACAAAAAATTTACATCACGTGACTTGTCAGGTGGTCTTTACGGTAATTTAGCGTTCCCGCTAGATTTAACAGGAAAAACATTGTTTTCCCGCTAAGTGTAGCACGGAAATATCTGTCACGAGACTTATACACCAATTACTTTTTTCTCTAACTCTAGGGAGGAAATTATTCAACATTGGTTCTCCTTCTCTCACGAAAGGTTTTAACGTTTTCTTATCAAATGGAGACGAGTGTATATTAAATAGTGTATCCCATGCATTGCAGGACTTTGAAGATAAACGCCGCTCTGTTCATCTGGTGAAAAACTAAGTTTGTCTCAAGCATCTTGATTTGTCTAGAAGTTTTGCATGATATGTATATTAATCTAAGGTTCTCCAATTTGCTTGTGTTACTAAACTACCTTCTCAATGTTGTATAGCACCTAAATTGCACATTAATACATTCTACTCAAAGAAAGGACACGTTCTGGGTCATAATCGGCGTTTCCTTTCTTAACGAGATCTGGAGATCGAAAAGACATATCTCCTCCATATGCACGTGAAACCCACCACGATCACCTACATTCCTGTACGTATATTCAATCCGCCGCCGAGGGAGAGCAATCAAACTATTAGTGAAGGAATAAATACTTTTACTATAGATATTATTATTTACGGGCAGTGAGGAATATCGTGCAGTCGTGATATTCGGACCGAAGAACAAACAAACGCTCTGCAGACGCAGATTCCGGTGCAGATAAACGGAAAACATGCGGAGTATTGTTCAACACACGATTGAGCCCGAGCTTGGAGAATTGCTGCTGGTCGAATGACATGAAAATGCATGCAGAGCAACGCTGGACGCGGGTACGCCAGAGCGAAATCAAAAAAGATGACCGCGGCAGTATGCAGACGGGGCCTAGACTCTGCGGGATCATTAGATGAGGCCTGGGTGGGTAGCGTTTCACTATACGATGCAACGCGAACGCTGTCGTTAGTGGCGCTGTCAATCAGCTTAGAAAAAGCGGCGCGCCACATCTAAGTAGTAATAATAATATTAGCTTATTCACAGATCCGCCATCAAGCATACATGGGTAAATTACTTTCAAAATGTAATTTAATTACAATTACAATTACTTAGCCCCCAAAGTAGTTTAACTACAATTACAATTACTACTACGCGAAAGTAGTTCATTGCAATTACAAATTACTTTTTAAAAGTAATGCAATTACTTTACAATTACTTATTTCTGAGAGTTACCCACCTTGGGCCATATAACTGTAAACGAGTTATATGGCCGCTGTATAAATGTCACGCATTGTACTTTTCTTTTATGAAATTTGTTAAATGGATTATAGAACTTAATAGTTTGGAGTAATGAACTTCTGATTTCTTATATTCTCAAAAAATAAAAATAAATGGCGACAAAATTCACAGGTGCGAGGTGAATCTCTTTAGAGCTTGTGCAAATGGTATCCAAGTCAAACCAACAAAAAATAAACTTAAAAATAATACAAGGAAACAAATATGCGACAGTACTGGTATCATAAAACTCGGTGATTCGCTGCCTCTCCCTGTCTGTGGACTTGTAACATGTCGGATGTGGGTAACCGTAGCACGCGAACTGCGGTCGCTTCCACAAAACTAGTGTCACAATAGCAGCAACTCTCTTGCCAGGGATTCTGGGTTAATTCAGTGCACGGTAACACCAAAAAAAAAAAAAAAAAAAAAAAGCTCCTGAGATATATAATAAATTTAGGATCGTCATGTCAGGCGAAGAAGCAAAGAAGCAGCAGGTCTAATTAACACGACTCACCCTGCCTTACTTCCAACTGTTGTTGCTAAACTGCGCTTCTTCGCCTCGATATTAGAGTAGCACGACCCTCTGTTAGTGGTACCAACACACGAGATAGAGGAGAAAGACGTGAAAACTCATAAAGAAAAGAGAATAATTACATGAACAAAAAAGTCCCCAAACTTGACTGAAATATGTAAGCGAATATGCTAGCGGCGAAGACGCGTAAGGAAAACTTCGAACCTCTCCGCCTCGACCGGATGATGTGATCGGAGCCAACCAGCTCGACTTCGACCCCCATACCCCCGTGTGGGAATGAGAAATAAGAAAGACCCCTAGAAACAGGAGCAACAGGAAGCGAACGAGACGAAGAGTCAGATTCAACTACGACAGGAACGAAAACGGACGCGAATGAAGCCCTCATTTATCAAATTATTTCTGAAATTCTTCATTAAATCGTTTTGCAGTCTACAAAATCCTTCATTCCGTTCTATCCCAGCCTTCCTTTTCCCTTTTTTTGAGCAGGTTGGGAGACTCTCTCTTTTATTGCTTCGGTCGTGCTCTCGTCGCCGTGGCCAGGGGGGAAAAGCGCCACCGCCGCAAAATCTTGCAAAAGTAATTGTAATTGTGCCTGAAATTTAGCAATTACTGATGCTAGAAAGTAATTAAATTACAATTACAATTCCTTTCAGCCAAAAGTAATTATTACAATTACAAATTACTAGGAAAAGTAATTAAATTACAGTAATTTAATTACTGTAATTGAATTACTACCCAAGTATGCCATCAAGGTACAAAAAAAGATACCATCTCACAAAAGCAGTTGCGTGCTTGTGCGTGAGAACGGGATGTCAATTCAAACTATGTTTTTACGTGGGTACTTCGTTATCAGAACTCTACAAACACTTTCTTCAAACAACAATTTAGTGTTGATGCACAAAAGAAACAAAATAGAGACAAGCGATATTCGTTATATTTTAGATATCACGTACACACTACTAGGGAAATTGCAGTGTGACCAATTTGCCAAATACTCACAAACAACAAAAGAACAGTCAGGATTCCAACAAACGACGAAAGCGAGGATAAGGGTCCCAAGGGAAAATACACAATGGCAACTAATAAACCAACGCGACTTGTCAAGGTATCTGGTGGAAATCTACAAGTAATTTTAATGCTGTACTCAGGGAATTGGAGAACGCATGAAGATTTCGCTTCATTGTTAATCTTGTACTCGGCCAAGGTACGCAGGAAAGAATAAAAAAAGAGCTCAGGAGAACGACTAGTTAACCTTCAGTTTTCTTTATACACGACTTCCTCGTTTCCTTCTTTTACGTATTTTAAGGAGTGGAGGGTGTGAAATTTTTAAGGAATTTGGTTGACATATGCAGGCACAAAATATGCGGAGCCTAGTTCCATAGTTGGTCTATATTTTTGGTATCTGAAGCTTTTCCGTGTTTCACAGTTGTCTTTCTTTGATGGTGTCCATTTAAAACTCGGATGTGAAGTAATAATTCGTTAGAATGACGAATTTGCGCAGTTTATTTACTGTCAATAGGTGAAGCTCTTACAGGATATCTCCAAACACTATATTTTCAGGTTTTGCTTCATAGGCGATGTTCTGCACCATCCTTTTCATAACTTATTGATTCTTGGTTTTTCGAAGTCAGGATGCAGAGATAATACTTACATATCTTAGTTGTGACTCTGCTAACATTCGCTAAATTAATCGTCTTAGCCAAAATTGTGCGGGCTTCCGCAATTTGTATAAGTAGGATGATATTGTTCGTAAGTGATTTATTAGGTGATCTTCATGCAAATTCAACGACAGATGCTCGTCAAAATACGTGCGTAGATATTTTGTGTTTTTTTGGTGTATGAAAGGGGCGTACAGCTGCACTGAGTGCGTTGAGTTGTATGTAAAAAGATGAGTTTTGTAAGTTTAGTACGGCAGTGGTGCGTTCGAAAGCACATTGGTTGTTTTTGTCATTGTTGTCAAATATAGAGTTTTCAGAAAGCTACTTCATTATATTATTTAAGTCACTTCGCTTGCTTTTGACTGCATTGTCATAATTTTTATTTGCCAGGACTAATGCTGTATCGTCAGCGTATTCATAGAGGTTAGAGTTTAGAGGGAGCTAGGCAAGACCGTTCATGTAGATGTTAAAAAGCACAGGGTTTAAACGAGATCCCTGAGCCACGCCGCAAGTTGTGTGCACGGTGTCACTGAAGCATTTTGTTCTTTCCGAACTGTTTGCGTCCGGTTCAAAAAGTATTTTTTTAAACAAATCTAGGAAGTTCCCCTGTAAGCCAAGGGTTTCTGTGTTATGTAGTAATATGAAATAGTGAATTGTGTCAAATGCGTTTGTCAGGTCAAGAAGTATTGGAAGTACTACATTATTAGAATCTATTTTTAGTTCATGTAATATGTCATGGCTTTGAAGAAATAAACGTTTAATGTGGCGAACTTGTGCCAAAAAAATAAAAGGGTACAAAAGATAATAACAGAGCGTCCTGGGCGTCGAAGTCGACGTAACAGCAGAGACGAACGCTGGGGCGAGACTGACTGCAGATCAGCATGCGGAGTCCCTTATGTGCGCGCGTTGGGTTCTGGGAACAATCGGCCTAGATTGTTCGGCGACTGGAACGTTCGGAACTCGATCATACGAGAATGTTCACGAACACACTAGAACGCAATGTTGAAAGAACAAATAAAAGAGCATTCCACTGACTGGAATCGAACCCAGACTTTCCGCGCGACAGTCAAGCACGGTAACCACTCGGCCACGCACGCGGTCGCTCGCCGACGAGCGTGGCATTACTCCCCCCTTTAAAAAAGCATCGTCTCGATGCCACGTAAAAGGCAACA